AAAGAACAACGGCGTGCTTGAATATCGAAGAGACAATGTCAATCGTCGTTCAATTTATTACTCAGATTGCTTGTTGCTTAATGTAATTCTTAAACACTAAATGAGGATATCATTTCTATCCTGCCTCTTGAACCTCTTATTTCCACTTATTTCAGTCCACACCTTTTTCCATCGCGGAGCTCAAGATCTAAAGCCAGAAATTCCTTTCAGTTGCCGAGTTAAATATTGCGTTTCATGACGAATCATCACCGACGCCTGGCTACTGATGAAATTTCCACTGCAGTCAATCCCTTGAACTGCCAATACAAGCGAACATGCAAGCCCCAGGATGTAACTGAGAAGAAGACGACTCGATCGCTGGGACAATACTTTTATTCGCCTGACGTTTCGATCGAGTCATCTTCTTCTTAGTCCCTTGAACCTTCATCATTATTCGCAAGAGCCAATAAATGAGATTAAAGGGGGCTGGGTCGACGTCTCTCCTATAGAAATTTGTCTTCCGCAGTTATGGTACCGAAAAATTTGCTATCTGTCTAGTAATCTGATCGTCTTTTTCAGCTTGAATGTAAACCCGCTAGATGAAAGCCGTGCTTGGCAGACACGTGCCTCGCTGGATCGGCTCTCGATTCGGTAACAGGGTTCTATGGCCCACTATTTTTCAGGGACGGTTTCGTCGTTAATGTCTGCCTGTTGGTCCACAATTTATTTATTTCCCAATGCAGAAAAAATAATAAGTGCAGTTCTCCACTTGTTACTTTTCTCCCCCCTCACGGCCTGATTATTTTCATTTGACATTGACCTCTGTAGGCGACGGCTCAGAAGTAAATATACAGACGAAATTGCGTGTGATTTCCTGCCGACATAGCTGTTCTAATGGTGGGTTTCAGTGTTTTGTTTGGGCTGTGTCCTAGCATTGCCATTATGAAGAAGCAGACAACTTAGTGCCAGTTTAATGCGTTTTTCGGCCCCTAATGCTCCTCGGGTTATATCTCTTCAATGAAATCGAATGAACTTTGGCTTATTCAATACCTGGGAGTTGCAATTTCGTCAGAATACACCTCGGCCTTCATTGTGAACTACTTAACGTGACCCGTCAATGTCTCCTTGCACAATAACCGAAATTTTCTCAATCCTTTTGATATTTGTGTTTGGGAGCATCTTCCAGCCCATAACCAGCAACGTGCAAAGGACTGTGCATTCTTTTCATTTTCGTCGGAACAATCCTCGCAACTC